GGGCCATTTATTTTTGGGATAGCTTGTTGGTTATATAAGCAAACTCAGATATTGATCCAATATTTTGTAATATTTTTTTGGTCAATTGTGATTGCTTTATAACTTTTTGAGTAGGCTAATGAAGTTAGCATATTGTACTGAATCATATTTACTATTTTTGTTTATTAGAATTATGTAAAATTTTCAGGCATTTTGTTTTGTATTTTGTTTTGTTATTATTATTAGGTTTGTTGGAAATTACATAATTGTGGGATATTTTTTTTTCAAAATTGTAACATAACCTACGACAACGTTTGTTAAACGTTACCGTAGGGGAACCTACGGCAACGGTCCATAAACGTTGCCGTAGGTGATCTACTCTACAGCAACACCTTGATTTGCAACACACGTGTAAATGTTGCAAAAGGCTTACGGCAACATTTTTCAAACGCTGACATAGACTGTTTTTGTTGTAGTGAAAATAAAAAATACAAGGAGTTCATTTTACTTATTTATAAGTAGAAATAGTTACATATTTTAAAAATAAAGAGTCAAAACCAATGAAGTGATTCAAAGTTCTAACTCATTTGATAAAATCTTTAATTAACTCACACCCGTAATTTAAATTAATAAAATGCTAAACAAATAATTTCATGGGCCAAACATTATAAAAAAAAAAACTAAAATAGATTTAAAATAAAAAATCTATTATTAATCAAATATTCTAGAAAACTAACATGTTTGGAGTAGATATTTTAAGAATAGATTAGTAATTTTTTAATTTTTTTTTTTTAAGAATATATGGTTAAAATGTAAGTAAAAGTTTTTGGTCCACAAACAAAATTATTTATGAAGAAAATGTGTAGTTAAAAATGAGTTTGAAGAACAATGAAAATTGTAAAAATAGATACCAAACGGGGGCATAATCACTATTACTAGGGCACTGACCGGAAAATCAGGCCTCGATTTAAACTATTGCTTAGATTTGGATTAATTACTTGAATGGTTACTGGACTTTGCCAAGTGTTATTGATTAATCACTAAACTTGAAAATGTACCTTAATGGTCACTAAACTTCGTCAAATATTACTACTTTATAACTGAACTTAAAAATGTATTACAATAGTCACTGAACTTCATTAAGTGTTATTACATAATAACTGAACTTATATTACTACTCAGTGGTACCTAAATTATGCAATGTGTTATCCATCCATCACTTAAGTCGACGCCGTTTATTGAACCTATTGGATTTTCCCACTTGTGTGGTAGGAAAATTCGATTTTAATCCCTACCAAGGACTAAGCAACTGTAGTCTGTGGATGTTTTACAAGTCATTCGGAAACAAAAAATTAAACAAATAAAAAGAAAAGACAATGCAAAAGCATGCGTAGGGGTGGACCCAGGGGGGGGGGTCCTGGGGGTCACGTGATTCACCCAACTTTTGAGTTTTTTTTTATATATATATAAAGTCATATATGGTATCGATTGAAATCTAAATTTTAATCTAAATTAAAGTTAACAATTAATTTTAATAACATATTTCATGGAATCCATAACTATTTAACTTTTATCAAAATTTACTCAATATTTAATTTTAATCTCCATCAAATAGGGACAAAATCACACTAAATTTGAATTTTTCTCTTTTCCTCTCCCCTTTTAACAAAATATTAACCCTTCTAATTTTTTAAAATGTGTATATAATTTCTCTACAAATTTTCAAGTAATTAGAACATAAATTTGTATTGAATATTAGATGTATGTTTTCATTTCGATTACTTGAATTGATTATTTGTATTAAATACAATATAAGATTTTTAAATATAAATATGCATTTTCTTTTGATAAACAAAACATTAATAAAATAATTCTTCGAAATCAAATGGATGAAAATGATTAGCAAAATATTAATGAAAAAATATTTTTTAAATGTAAATCTGAATTGTCTCGAATCATGTATGAATCATTCAAAAATCAAGAGAAAAAGTATTCGATTTGTACAGGGTTTGATTGTGCCCCCTAACTCAAAATGTCTGCATCCGCCTCTGAGCATGCGTAATAGTTTATTGGTAGATTTTCTATAATTTCATGTGATCTGCAATCCAATATTCAAATGGAGTTCCAACCAAACCCCACTTTTCCATCTACCCTGAAAAGGGAAAAAAAAATATGCAAGGAAAAGATGGAAGGCAGACTCTAATCTTTATTGGTTGTATTTGTAGTTGTATGGTCACACCAAATATCGTATCAAGTCTATGAAATCTCAATCACACGGCTCAATTATTAAGTGTGTGTTTATGCCAGATTATTTATTTTTCATTCATTTGTAAAAGAAATATGACTGTTTGTTTAGGGAAAATATTTTTTTTTTATCAATTTCATCAATTATATGTATGGAGTTTTTTCTCTTTTATGCTTGAATGTTCTTCGAGGGTTATAAGGTGGGAGATAGGGAAATGGTGAAATGGGATCTAGAGTTAGCTTTTTACTCTTCACTTTAATCATTTGAATTTTGGACTGCTTATTGTCTTGTTTGATTAGTAATTGGTTAATGAAACTAATTACACAACCCATTAGCTGTAAGTTTTATCTAATCGACCTGGCTATATGAATTTCAGAATCTCAGAATTTCAG